TAAAATATAAAAAAAACAATTTAAATATAATGACTAAATCAATAATAATAAATATACAAAAAATAGACTTGCTTTATTGAAGGTACTCTGTAAAATTTTGAGTCTATCTATATTATTTTTAGCTATCTAATATTTATTGTAGAAGGTAAAATATTAAAATCAAAAAAAGAGATACGAATTGTGATTTGTTTAAAATTGTTTTCAAATCTGACTTTATAAAAGACAACTTCTGGATATTTTAAAGTAAAATAAAAATGGTAGTATTTTTGAATGTTAGGTACTTTTTCGAATGTTTGAAAATAAACTTTAAAATTATAATACTGAAAGCCTTTTCTATTCAAATAATGCTAAGCAATATTAAGATAAACTGTAATAAAGTGATTAACAATTGCAACTACATTATTTATTTTACTTTTCCAATAAAGAATTTTAATTAAGTTAAAACAGCTATCACAAATAAACTTTGTGTATTCAGGTATCATGAAATTTAACTCAACTTTGTCATACATATTATAATTAATCAATCATAAATAAAAAAATAAAGAATAATTATTTTTGTTCTGGTCTACACAATTATCACATGCAATAATCAGTTTTTTTTCTCTACAATTATATTTCTGAATTAAATGCTAAACAAAACTTAATGTACAATTTACACCTTTTTCTTGTTTACCATCATCAGACATTTCAGCTTCATCAATTAAATAGTTAGTTTGTTTTAAATGAAGAAAATTGTCAGTATTGTAAAGTCTAAATAAATGCACTTTTCAGGGACTCTTAAAAAATATAGATCCTATTTGTTGAGATGAATAAGAGATTTGTAAATTTTGAGCCTAATCATATGCAATATAAGCATTACTTTCAAAAGGTTTAAATAATACTTGAGATTTTATTGTATTTAAATTACATTTGCCATCCTCAACTACATATTTTATATTAGCATTATAGTAATCATGTTCTTGTTTAATATGATTCAGATGAACCAAATAATTTTCTGTAACTTCTAACTTCTTTTCATATTTAGTAGCATATTGAATATCTAGTTTTATCATTTCACAGATTTTATATAGGTCAGACTTTGAAGATCAAGGCTTTCTAGATATTAGTAAAAGTTGATTTTATTATAATAGTTATTTTTTTACCATATTTTTCTTTATAAGCTTATATATAATTACGATATACTAAGGTATAACTAAAATTTGTTGAAAGAAATATAACTATCATAGAAATTTTATTAAAATACTGCTCAGGTAAAAGCAAGCTATATATATTAATATAATTTTTTAAAAATTTATATATTATACATGCAATGCTATAATTTACTTCAACACGTTTTATATTTTTTAAAGCCCTGCTAGTATTGTCATATACACGCTTTCTAAGACTATGTTTTTGTAAATGCTGTACTAAGGTATCAAAATACTTATGACTAACACTTACTAGAGTTTCATATGTTGTATGATAAACTGAAATATCATTATTATAATAATAATTAAAACGTGAGAATTTTCTATTATCAGTTAAAGCTTTTCTCATATTTTTGCTTTTTTTAAAAGCCAGTTGTCCTTTAATAATCATATTCTGCATTTTTTTATCTAAACTTTCAAACTTAGCTTGACGTGCAAGAAAATTATTCATAACCAATTTTTTCAAAACAATAATTAGAATGACATGTACATTTTCCACTTTTAAAAAACTCTTAACTTTTAATTTTAATTTATCATAAACTTCATCAATATAATTTTCTGGATTTTTTACAAATTCAAAGTCATTTAGATTTATTATATTAAAATCTTCTTTAAGATCTAAAATATTATCAGAATTTAACACAATATTATCATCTGACACATTTTTTTTACTTTCAGAACTTGAATTTTAACAAAAAAAAGTATTGTTGAGTTCTTCTAAAACATTTAAGATAGTTTTATTTGCTTCATCATTATTAAAATAAATGTCATATTCCATTTTATTTAAATAGTAGCATTATATAAGAAATTGTAAAAGTATATAAAAAAAGGTAATGAAAAAAAAACAGAAAAAAAAATTTTTATTAATTAATTATGAACAGAAAAACAGTCCTCCCAAAAAGTTAGACCAGTGGATACGTGATTATAATAATAACTCAAAAAGTAATCAGTGAACTAAGCCTACCTTTTGCTATAAGGGTTCCTATATATAGTCTTCTGTTAAAAGTAATGGTGAACAGTTTTTTTATATATGTAATTTTATATTAAATATAGGTAAAATTTTTTTTAAAATAAAGATAAAAATAATATTTATAAATTTTATTAGATAATTAATATGTAGTATGTCTTTTATTTATATCAATATATGCTTGAATTTGATTAACATGCTATTGATACAGTTAAGTAATATTAAGTTATCAAGATTATTCTATTTCTTTATTAAAAAAAATTTCATTTGAAATTTTTTTGTGCAACTAATATTTTTAATATTTTTTTCAATTTTTTTTTTTTAAAAAAAATAATTCAAATATTATATATTTCTATTCTAAAAGAACTTTATGACTTTACAACTTATTTTAATAAATATTTAATGATATTGTAATTTCAATGAGTAATAAAAAGTTTAAAAGGGTTTTATTTTATTTTATTTTATTATTTATTTTTATATAAAAATTTCATTATTCAATTTGGTCTCATAAACAATGAGCTGAATTAGGATAATAGAGTTGTTGTGATCTATATAAGAAGCAATGTCCTTACCACCATTATTTTTATCAGAGACTATATTATACTTATATTATAAATCATTCTTTATAAAATTAAATTAATTGAGGTTTAATATTAAGCTAAAGTTTAAATAGTGACTTAGACTGAAAAAATTTAGTTAAATTATAATTTGAAATTTCTTTAAATATTTTTTATACTTGTTTATTGTAGATATTAATTAATATATTATCAAAAACTGATCAATTAATCTAATATCTAATACAGATTGAAGATATAAAATTATTAATTGTTAATGAATTATAGAAATTAAATAAATTATTTTAAACTGATTTGATATTTTATTTAATAATCTTGTTTGATAGATAAAAGAGTTTAACATATTCAGCGTTTTAATGAATTAAGAAATTTAATATATTAATATTTTATAATGGTAAAAGATCTATCTTGACAAAAATTTTTTTACTTTTTGTTATTATAAAATTTGTTATATTTCAGATACATTATAAAGCTATGAAATTGATTTTTTAATTTAAGAATATTTCTTGTTATATATAATGTATTAAAAAATTCTTTAAAATATTACTACCAATTTTTTCTAATACTAATTTATAAATTTTATTAGAAATTCAGTTACTATAATATTAAATCTCATTTAAAATTTCATTATTCATAATAAAATCTATAAAAACTAATAATTAAGTAATATAAAATTTGGTTTTCAAAATTATTCAAAAGAAGAATATGAATAGTCTTTAAAAATTTTAGAAATATTATTACTGATTTGTTATTATTATTTGATTCACTTTTATCTTTGTTTTCATAAGAAGGTTTATTTCTTTGATCTTCTTCAATTATATATAATAAAAAATCTTTTTATCTAAATTTATCAATGAAATTCTAATTTAAAATATATTTTGATTTATATTTTAATATAAAAGATTGTTTTACTAAACTTTATTATTCTTTTATTTATTTAGAGTAATTAATTAAGATAATTTATCACTTACATTATTTTGAATTTTAGAATTTTCTATAATTTCAGTTAATTCTAGCAAAGATAATAATATATTATCTACTAAAATATTTGTCAAAATTTCCTCTAATAATTTATGACGTATTCTCATATAAAAATTAACAAAATACTTTTTTACATTTATTGTAGAAATAAGATACTTTATTTTTTCTTATAATTAAATAATTAATTAAATAATTTTTGAGAAATAGATATAAAAGATATAAGTATTTCATAAAATATATTAATTATTATAATTTTTATAATTTTTTATAGTTTATAATTATTATTAATGAAATTTCAATAAAATATAAAAAAATTTTTAATGAATTATAAATCAAATAAGTTAATTGAACCTAATTTTTTATTGAAATATTTAAATAAATCAATCATACAATTGACTAAAAATGCAGTTAAAATAATTAAATTATTCAGATTAAGGTTAAAAAAATTAAAAAATAATATTGATTGAAAATAAAAAAGTAATTAAACACGAATTTTACGCAAATAATATAATCTTGTAGTAGATACATATAAATATTGTATTACAAAATGATGAAATTATTATATAGACGTTACAGGTTTTTTTTTTTATAATTTATTATAATATAAGTTATTTATAAAACAATTTTTTCTTTTTGTTTTTTCTTTAAAATACTTTTAATAATATTGTGATTTTTTGATTTTATGGTAAATTTGATATAAATTAGTTTCATATTATATTTTTATATAAACATAATCCTATATTAATTATGTTATGACTTTATATTTATCTTAACTAACTTTAATATTAGTTATATTTTAATATAATATTAATTTAAAATTGTAAAAGGAACTTTATAGGTTATGTAAATAGTAATTCTAGTTAAAATTATATCTTGATTAAAATTATAGTAATTATATTTAAGACCTTCTGTCAAATCTTTTTTATAATTTTAATTAAAAAACTTTGCATTAATTTTTATTTGAGATAGATTGCAACAAAACTAGATAAAGTGAATATTCTATTATATAATATAAATAAGAGGTTGATGTAACTAAAGTTAACTAATTTGACTAATAATATTTTAATTATCACAACTGTAACTTATACACAAATTTCCATATATTATATAATAAAATGATGCCAAAATTAAAAAATTATACCTTTATACAATCACACCTCTATATAATCACCATTTTTTGTATATAGTGTTTCTTATCGATTAATCCTAAACGTGTTATCGTATCACAATTGATATCTTTTTTTTTTTTAAAAAAAAAGGCAAGCTTTACACAAAAAAAATTAATAAAAAATGCGACTTGTTTTAGAATGTCGGTACAAGTTATCTCAAAAATACACAAGTTTTTTAATCTTTCGTAAAGCCTCGTGTAGTAAATCAGCATTAAACAATTTCAGTCCTTTTGCTTACCAGCATTCAAAACATGTTAGTCTCGGTTCGAACGTTTGGTTTAGATTGAATTCCTAAATTCATTAAGTTTACTGTTTAAAAATATAATTCCCAAATAGATATCTTCCTCTTCTTGCACGAACCTTCAGACTATGCCAGATCCGCCGCAGGTGACTTTGAGCTCAATTATTTAAGATATTATATTATATTTTATTAATTTATTTCTTTTGAATTTAATGCAGGCAGACGTCCTTCATAAAAGAAAATTTGGTAGCCGTTTTTTCATATTAAATCGTCCAAATGTTCTAAATGCATTGGATCTAAGCATGGTTAGAAATATGACACCACAATTACAGGTTTGTAAAAATATAATGTATTTAATGATTTATCAACGTTTGTTATATCCAAATTAATTTGATTTGATGTAGGCATGGAATGAATCCCATCTATGTAAAGTAATCATTCTTAAAGCTAGAGAAAAGGCGTTTTGTGCTGGTGGCGACGTAAAACGTAATTATAAATATATTCTTTTTGAACTCAAATTCAAAATACTCACACGTTTTGAGTATAGGTGTTGTAGAATTGGCGACAAAAGAGAAGAATGGTGAAGATGATCTTCGAGCCCTTCAGTTTTTCGAAGAAGAGTACCAGCTTAATCATCTTATCGCCACGATAGATAAACCATTTGTTGCCTTGATGAATGGCATTACTAGTATGTCTTGTTTGTCAATGACATTAATATAATATATATTAATATTGGCTCAAAGATCTAATACCCAAACATTCACATAGTTGTTCTATTTCTTTTGCTTGATTACAATTAACAAAGTGGGAGGTGGCGTTGGTCTATCAGTTCACGCGCCATTTCGCGTCGCTACTGAAGAAACGGTATTTGCCATGCCAGAGACTAATATCGGGTTTTTCCCTGACGTTGGTGGATCCTTCTTTTTACCAAGAATGGACGGAGAGGTTGGAACTTATCTAGCATTGACCGGCGCAAGGCTACGTGGCATAGATGTTTTGTACGTGTTGTTTGTATCTATTATTTTGTTCAAATTATGCTCGGACGTCGATATATAATTCTTGCCAATTCTTATAGTTTGTCTGGAATTGCGACACATTACGTCCCTTTAAATCGATTATCGCATTTGGAAGATCGGTTGAGTGAACTAGAGAGTGATGATCATGAGGTGATAAATGCAGCCATTGAAGATTTTGTAGCGGAGCCTGAACAAAATCATATTTATGCTCTTGGTGGGAATATTAGAAAAGCCATCGATCGGTAAGAAAATCTTTACGATGATCAATATGAAGGGGAAGCGGTAACTTGACAATTTTTGGGATTTTAGGTGCTTTAAGAGTAATACAGTGGAGAGTATTATTGATGCGTTATCTAAGGAAGAAGATAAGACATGGTCAAATAGCGTAATAGACACTTTATCAAAAATGTCGCCTACAAGTCTAAAAGTTGGTTATTCATATTTAGTTTGTACTTGCAGATTTTTATTCCTTTACGTAAACGTTCATTAATAATTCAAATTTATCTAAAAAGGTTACTTTAAAAGAATTAAGAAAGGGCAAGCAAATGGTTATAACGG